ATCATTCCCTCCCCATTTACACACTCATACTGTCACATCATTCCCTCCCCATTTACACACTCATACTGTCACATCATTTCCTCCCCATTTACACACTCATACTGTCACATCATTCCCTCCCCATTTACACACTCATACTGTCACATCATTCCCTCCCCATTTACACACTCATACTGTCACATCATTCCCTCCCCATTTACACACTCATACTGTCACATCATTCCCTCCCCATTTACACACTCATACTGTCACATCATTTCCTCCCCATTTACACACTCATACTGTCACATCATTCCCTCCCCATTTACACACTCATACTGTCACATCATTCCCTCCCCATTTACACACTCATACTGTCACATCATTCCCTCCCCATTTACACACTCATACTGTCACATCATTTCCTCCCCATTTACACACTCATACTGTCACATCATTCCCTCCCCATTTACACACTCATACTGTCACATCATTCCTCCCCATTTACACACTCATACTGTCACATCATTCCCTCCCCATTTACACACTCATACTGTCACATCATTCCCTCCCCATTTACACACTCATACTGTCACATCATTTCCTCCCCATTTACACACTCATACTGTCACATCATTCCCTCCCCATTTACACACTCATACTGTCACATCATTTCCTCCCCATTTACACACTCATACTGTCACATCATTCCCTCCCCATTTACACACTCATACTGTCACATCATTCCTCATACTGTCACATCATTCCCTCCCCATTTACACACTCATACTGTCACATCATTCCCTCCCCATTTACACACTCATACTGTCACATTCCCTCCCCATTTACACACTCATACTGTCAATCGCATCACCCCCACATACTAATGCTGTCACTTCAGCTCCCCCCCACACATGCATGCTGTCAACTCTATGCTGCATACTGAGCTCACAATAGTGAGAGAGAATAGCTACCGGACAGGAAAGGAAGCATACATTTTATATTAAAAAACAACAACTTTGTTTTCTCACAGATTGCAGCCCCTATCCTACCGCACCTATATACACACACACTGCATCCACCACACACATCATCCACTACACACACTACATTCACTACACAGACACACACACTGCATCCACTACACAAACACACACACACTGCATCCACTACACAAACACAGTCTGAGGTCACTATACACACAACATCCTTTCCACACTGCATCCATTACACACACACACAAAGACTGCATCCTTGTGGTTGGACTCAGGGTGGGCCTTGTGGGTAGAGTCGGGGGCAGCCTTGGGGGCCCACACTGTGAGCTGTGTAAGGGGCCACAACATTTCTGATTGCAGCCCTCCAGACATTAACCATCATACTCACACTATCACCCCTCACACACATAACACAGCTCCAAACTCATGATGTCACATCAGTCCTCTCCCCCACACAATCACTCTGTCACATCACCCCCAAACACATTATGCTGTCACATCACCTCCCTTTGCACACACAAGCATGCTGTCACATGACAAGCCTACACACACACAAGCATGCTGTCACATAACACAAACCTAAACACAAGCATGCTGTCAACACTCCATGCAGCATACTTGGCTCATGAGAGTTTTAGAGAGTAGCTGCCAGAAAATGAAGATGGCGATTGCTGGGCCCTTTCTTTACTATACAGGCGCATGTGTCCGAAGTGGCTACATGGCTGCAATGTGAGGGTGATATGGTATGGGTAATGTGACAATATATACAATATACATATATATATTTATATGGTAAAAGGCCATTAGGCCTGTATTTGTGGGAGGATTTATGTCCCCTACCTAAACGCTGAGCCCTTACCTTTGCCATTCATGCTGATTGACTCCCCATAGCAACCAGCACTTCCGGTCCGAGATACCTGCCAAAAAGTTCCTGTCGCTGCAGTGTCCACTGCCTCCGACCGCCGGTCCTTCCACCCGGCTTCTCCACAGACGCGGTACCCGGCTTCCACTCACGCGACCTGGCACGTACACCTAAGCACCACGGTTATTTCCCACGTTTGGCCTAAAAATGCGGGGATAGGCTCCCTTCTTATTGTAAATTACCCGTTCGTTTATATTCTTCTGTTCATGCGGTAAATTCGGTCGACTGCTGCCTGCATAATCCATTCGTTACTTTCATCCATTCATGCGGTATAATTAGTCGACCACTGCCTGTTTAATGCATTCGGTAAGTTCATATGTTCTTGCAGTAAAGTTAGTCGACCACTGCCTGTATAGTGCATGCGAAATCCTCATACATTTGGTAGTAACTTACGATACCGTTCGTACATATGAATGGCTAAACACTTAGCTTACCGTTCTTTCACCATTTCGTCTCTCTTTTCATTCGTACGGTATCTGAGGGGTCTTTCACCACGTTATTTCACCTAGTCTTTCGGGTAAATCAGTTAAATCATTAAATCATTTGTTCACATATTTTGTATGTTTTCTATGCTGCTGCATGTATTCACTTGAATTCCTCTCTTAAATTTAAAGAGCCAATCACTGTTTCACTCCCACTCCAATTATTCAATAATAGTTACTAACTAACCAGCAGGTCATGCCACTGGCCTAGCAATGGTAACAATTTTCTATTCCACCCACCCCCAGCCTCCCGAGACCCACTACGTTTAATCTTCTCAGTTTAGTTTAAGGGTATATTTCTGTCAAGAGCAGCTACACGTATGCCCTCAGTCTAAGCACGCTCGCCTTTTACATGGTTCTCCTAAATTAGTCACCACGTGTACAGTTACTTCACACAATTTTAATTTTAGAAGGTCTGTCCCCCATTCTTTGTTCGTCAGGTTCACACATGATGACTCTCAGCAGTTTTTCTCTTGTACGGTACTTAGCTCTATGTCATGATTTTAGGCTTCTTGAATTATCAAGTATACATCAAGGATTGTCAACCTGGTATCCTGTCATACAGTATCAGGTATTGTAATCTTACTCGTTATGTTTATCATGTCCTCAAAGCCTCACTCAGCCTCCACTGGTTACGCCCCACCCCCTTCCCTCCCTGTTGGGTATCTAGAAGTTTTATCTCCATATGGACCAACGTTCAGGTACCCCACTATGCACCTTTTCATACGGTTCTGCACCAAGTAAACAACTGTTCATCACTTTATCTTTTTTTTCCATTTACGTTGCTTAGCTCTGTGTCATAATTTCAGGCTCCTCGTATTACTATGCATACAAATACGGACTGTCAATCTGGTATTCTGTCATTTAGTTCCAGGTATTATAATCTTACTACGATTACTTCATCTCCTCAAGGCCTGACTCAGCCTTCCCTCCTTACGTTTCCACAAAAAATTGTAACTAGGGGCTTGTCACTATGTATGGACCAACATTCAGGTCCCTCACCATTTCTTGTAGTATTTGTCCACTCATTTCTCTACTTCGTTTTTTCCACTTTCACGTACCTTGTACATACTATTGGCACGCTCAAAAGCCCACTAGTATCTATCTTACCCTTCGGATACGTGGCTGGACCAGTACTACTCATAACTCATCACTAAAATAAAATGAAAAAGAGAGCGCACAAATAAATGTAATTATACCTATATAGAGTGGTACTAAAAGTACCTTTAAATTGTAGCTGCTAAACAAATTTTTTTTTGAATTGTGTTGTCAGCGCTTAGGAGATAATCCCCTTGAATTAAATCAGGGGTATGCACATTAACAAATGTATCTACAACAACTGTATCAAATACAATAATAAAATGCAACATAAAAGTATCAGCGTTGATAGCTGTAACAATAACATTTTGCACAAAACAAAAATGTACCACAGTCCAATATATTCGATTAATAGCAGGGTCCAAAGTATAGGGAAGTCCACAAAATTATTGGAGACATATTCTTGTATTTGAATTCCCTTAAAAAAGACAGAAAATAAATATAGTGTAATACTGTATTTAATGTCTGAAAATAAAAAGGGAATTCCCCTCCCCAACATAGGAACCCTTACAAGAAAAAAATTTGGTACTTATCACTAAGGGCCACACTGAAAGCTTGGCTGGCTGCAGTCTCTCCTCCAGTTCCAGATGAACCGTCCGGTTTTCAGATGGAGACAGCGTTTGCCTCGTGCACTGAGGTAAGCTGTAGAGTTGACAAAGTCCTCCTCTCCGCTAGTATAACTCCGGTTGGCACGGAAAACTGAGCGAGCAGGATCTTTTCAGCCACACATAAAAATATAAAAACAATAAAAACACCTGATCAACGCGTTTCGCCCCTCTTTTGTGGACTTTTTCAAGATAGGTGTTTCATGTGCTGCTCGGCGGTTATATACCTTGCCGGGCAAAGCACATTTAAATCCTTAGCGGTATATGAGCTTACCCACAACATATTGGATAATGTCGTGTAAACTCATCCTTAAATGTAAAATGTGATCATACAAAATGATAACATATAATTTGTTATCATTTTGTATGATCAAATTTTACATTTAAGGATGAGTTTACACGACATTATCCGATATGTTGTGGGTAAGCTCATATACCTTTAAGGAACTTTAGGGCTACAGTCAGGGCTTCACAAGTCACGGCCACATGTATTTGAATCTTTTACTGTCATCGAGAGGCCAACATTCCGCCACTACATCTAGTGGCCACGAACCCCCACGGTCCAAACCATAGGTAGAGCCTCTCACCGCCACTTTGCATTAACAGGGCCTCACCTGTCATGTTGCTGTAGTTAAGTTTTTCGCCATGGCACTAATCAGCAAACCAGTTCTGCAAAGGTCTTGTGTGCAACGATTTCAATGCTGGCGCCTGCAGCTACAGCGCATGTGGGCTGTTGCACATCTGCTCCATTTGCTTCAGAGCTCACACCAAGACCATGTGCCCAGCCAGGCTTTCCCCCAAGAAATTACTGACCGAGGTTAATATAGATGTTGTGGCCTACTACCTTCGTTCTCACCCTGCCTGTCATTTAGTGGATTTTTTGGTAACAGGGTTTTCACAGGGTTTCCACACGGGCCTCATTGCCATACCCACAAAAGTCAAGGATACCAGAATTCAGGGAAGTCAAAACGAAGCCAAAGTCAAATACCAGACAATCAAGATCAAGAAAGCACTCTCGGACTACCATCAGGATGCAACCACAACAGGGCAATGAACAAAAGGAGAATTGGGTTTAATACCCCTCCTGTGGATCCGATTGGCTGTAACTGGCTTTTGACCCCAAAAGCAATTACCAGGTTTCCATGTGCATGATTGCTGCTCAGCACAAACCCTCCTGTGGATCTGATTGGCCATGACTGGCTGTTGACCCCAAAAGCAATTACCAGGTTTCCATGTGCATGATTGCTGCTTGGCACAACTTTTCCTGTCAGGACGGTAAATGCCATTAACCACATTTTTATGTGGGGATGAATACATGACACGACCACCCCCTGGCTCATTAAACTCAAGAAAAACGCAGGAATTAGCGCTCACTGTGTGTTGACTTAGACGCTGCGGCTGTAAACTGAGTGGAGGAGAAGGTAAGAGTCAGCGGTGTTTGTGAAAATGTGTAGCCGATTTCAGTTCCATGGATTTGGCTGCACACACCGCTGGCCACGTGTTCGTTTTTACGAATGGCGACCACCCAGCGGTCGGCAATTTACCTACAGCAGCCTCCCAGCCTTGGAGGTAAATTAGCCGCACGCTTCCACTTCTGTGTGGTCCGCCTGTGTGGTACTTGGTTCAGTAAGCCCCATTTACTGATCCAAGTTGGACAAAGCCATGCACAAAGTATTTTAAAGGTTTGGGGACCCTGGGGACACAGTCTTAAAGGGGCATTGTCACACAAAGTCTCAATATGTCCCCAGACAGTTCTTAAAGGGCCAGCACGGTTCAATACAAGTCCATAAGCCCAAATGCTGTTTTTAAAGGGCCATACACCCTAGGGGGCCATAGTCACATGGCAGGAGGCTGGCAAGTAGTCCTCTCCAAGCACAAGTGGCAAGGGGCACTTCGTCACAGTGGGCAGCAAAAGAAAGTCAACTATGCTGCATTTAAAAGCTTTGTGGTGAGATGGATATTGATGCCTACCTGCAGGACTTTGAAAGGCAATATGCTCTGGGAGTACTGGACAGAGACAAGTGGGCAGCCATCCTGAGCAGCAAGTTATCTGGCAGAGCAGGTAAGGCGAACTGGGCAGTACCTGACTCAGACATCCACCATTCTGAGCGGGTAAAGGATATTTTGTTGGCCCGGTTCGCTGTGACACCTGAGGCATACAGGAGAAAGTTTGGGAGCTCAGGAAGAACCATAAAGACTCTTTTGCTGAGTGGGCCTTCCGAATGCACCGGGAAGCCAAGAATTGGATGCATCTCTTGATCTCTTGATGAAGCTCTACAATTACTACTGATGGTGCAATTCTTTGATCACACACCAACAGAGATCAGAGACTTTGTGAGGGATCGTAAACCTGGGACCGTGGAGGAAGCAGCTAAACGAGTACCAGGATGGCAGACAACTGGAGCACAGTGGAGCGCGACTGACTTTCCAGCCTTCCTATCAGGTACAAACTGCACCACCACCACTACCCAGACCTGCTACTTTCACCCCAGCACCCCCTCCAGTGTCCATACAACGCCCTGCCTTTGTATGCCACAACTGCCAGCAACCCGGGCATTTTAAGCACAACTGCCCTAAACAAAACCGAGGAGGCTGGGAAAGACCAGCACCACAACCTACCCAAGCAGCCGCTCACTGTTTCCACCAGTAGGTCCCCAGCAACCCTGACCACAGCGAGGAACAGTGAAAACTCTGCACGAGGCGAATCCAGTCCAGGTGGCGGGCGATAACAGAGAATACCGTTGACAGTGGGTCACCGTTGAAGGAGAGGAAGCCCAGGGAGAGACACTGGCGACACCCTCACTCTTGTACAGCAACACAAAATCAGTGCTGAAGCTCGCACCCATAAAACACTAGCTGTAAGGGTGGCGGGAGGAGCCATCCATAAACTTCCCACTGCCCAGTTGCACCTCAACTGGGGCTCAGGAGCCAAACATTTGAAGGTGGGCATTATGAAGGAATTACCAGCCAAGGTGTTATTAGGAAATGACCTGGACTGCTTGACCTCCCAGCTCACACACTGCTACCCAGAGGAAACAGATCCAGTGGCTACCAGATCGCAAACCTGCTGGGGGGAGCCAGCACTCTCCAAGGAACCTCATGTAGGACCTTCTGCCTCACCCCATGGTTTTGAGCAAGAACAGACCCCACATTAGAAGGGTATAGGAAAGAGGCAGCGTCCCCCCAAGGAGATATAGCTCAGGAAAGGTTTGACTGGGACAAGGGGTTATTATACCAAGTGACGAGGGGTACGGGGAGTTGGGCAGCGCAGATAGCAAAAAGGCAGTTGATTGTGCCTTGTACATTTAGGGCTGAGTTACTCAAGCTTAGCCACGACATTCCCCTAGCTGGACATGTGGGTTTCCGGAAGATTAAAGACCGGCTAACCCAGACCTTCTTTTGGCCAGGTATCACACTAGACCTGCAGGATTATTTCCGGATGTGTGACACTTGCCAAAAGATCAGGAAGAGGACTTCTCTGGTAGTGCTGGTACCCAAGCAAGACGGTATGACTCGCTTCTGGATCGACTACCGGAAGCTTAACGACAGAACTGTTACTGATGCCTACCCCATGCCCAGGATAGACGAGTTACTGGGTCATATGGCTGGAGGGAATTACTTGACTATCATAGATTTGTGTAAGGGTTATTGGCAAATCCTGTAGTGGAGCTGCAATATTAAAATCAATATCTCCGCTGGTAGACTGTAGAACATCAAAGAGAAGCGCAGTGTAGCAATATAATCCCCATTTCCCCAGTAACCGGATGATACACATTTCTGGATGTCATCTGATTTTTATTCAGCCACAGCTGGCTTTTACGCAACTCCCCATGCAAGGGGTTTCTTAATTTGCATTCCAGGGGATTTCCCCTGGTGGACATTCAACAAATAAACATTTCCCAAGCTCCTCCTCTGTACCTGGGAGATGATTGAGTAAGAACAACTCTTTAATTACATTATCTCCCAGATACAGAAAATATGCAATATTTATAACATCCTAAAAACCCATTTTAATACTTCAGAACCCCCAAAAGTTACTTTGTCAAATAGCTGGGATCTAAGCGCCCACTTTGTCCAAATATCACTTTGAACCGTTCGGTGGTTTCGGAACGCCGTTCAAGTTCACACCGGTCGCCCACGAGGTGTAGTCCCAAAACAGTTCCAGAGATTGTTAGGCTTTGACAGGTCTTCTTTCGGAGTATGAAACAGAGAAAATAACGAATGGAACCATTCATATAGCAGGGGATTGTGTGTCCCTCATTCGGGAGTTTGTTTTATATGAATGCCGCTCTTTCCAGGTCAACTGAACCGAACACACGAAGAGGTGGTAGTTCAGTGGTGTTTGCGCCGTTGAGTATCCGATTATAGTTCCATGCACTCGACGACTAAACACTGCTGTCTGTGTTCATGGAGAAAGATGGCTGCCGCCACGTGTTCTGTCATACGAACGACAGCCACCCAGCCAACTGCCTAGAACCTTGCGGTTTCTAAGTGGGAATAGGGTCAATTGGAGGCACATGACTCCCCAGGGTGGTCCAACTGTTTGGTAGATGGTTCGGTATATGAACAATGTAGCTCAAGTCTGTTCAAGGAAGCCCAATTGTCGAACCTAATGAGTCTTTGACATGAACAGAACAGTCTATAATACAAATAGCTGGCTGGTTCCGCCACAAATCCCACTGGAGCCGGTGGCCATTCCTAAGTCGGCGTTCGTACCAGTTTAAGGTTATGCCCTTTGGGATGAAGAACGCCCAGTCTACTTTTCAAAGGATGGCCGACAGGCTCCTAGAGGGATTTCAGGACTTTGCATGTGCGTATTTAGATGATATTGCCATCTACTATTTTTGATGGATTAAAAGTAAGCCTAGCCCTGTTGGTATCGGGGTCATGGCTGTGTGACTCTTACACAGGTTTAATGGGTGCTGGGCAGCGTCCACATAATATTTGTGTGAAAGCTGTACAAAGAAGGGAGAGAAAAATAGTAGTAGCCAAACAAACTTGCAGCAGGAGGAGGGCCATTGAGCTCCCATTGCCTGAGGGCCCAGTGAGCTGTCAATCCATCCCTGTGGTATGGTGATCATAGTGGAGTATCATATAATAAGTTCGGTCAGAGCGTTAAGTGTGAGAGTAATCAGGGATTCCACAGGTTTGATTTTTGATGGTAAAATGCTGTTATTGCAGCAGTCCCATGATATATATACATAGCTACAGTGAGAATTCAAAGTGAGTTTCAAAGTTTAGGTCAAACTATCCAAATTCTCCAAGTCGATTGTGTTTTTAATGTGACTGTTATGATCCTAAATTTTAAAATCACTTTAAATTACTGACAATCCTCTCTTTAGTGAAAAGCCTTGAATGTCTGCATCTTCAAATTAAAAGAAATGAACTCTTCTGATACTCTTACATGTATTGACACTTCTCACCTTCGCACCACAGATGGACACCCATCCCACTTCCAATTACAAAGGATAAGCAATTATGCATGGTATCTTAAAATTTGATTTATGGGTGTATTTTTCTTCCTCAATTGCTTCATATTAATTATTTAGGAATCGCATATAATATGTTATGATTATCTCTCCCTACCTGTACATGTATTTAACAGAGTGAACTCATCATATTTAGGTGCTTGTCTCTGCAGCAGTCTGTTATAAATAGGATCCTTATTCTGAGTTTGATGCCAAATATTAGTCCTTCCCAAATGGTAATGTATTAATTCAAATTATTACAAATTATCCCCCAAATTAGGAAATAGCCAAGTAATGTAAAATTCAGATGCAGAATTGTAACCGTTTGCTCTAACAGAATTTACCAGTTTTGTTTTGCGTAGATGGTTTTAATATCACTTGATTTATTTTAAACATATAGTATCTAATAACCTTTTAATTCAGTTTTCCAAACTTACATTAAAATGTTGCTTTTATAAAGCAGCAAATATACTGTAATTCTATGAACCATGAAGTTATTGACTGTGTTTGTTTGACTTTAGACATTAAAGTCAGCACTCTATTCAGCCTTTTAAAAAAAAAAAATATTGCATATTCCCTGTGATTCTAAAATCAATTACTCATCTGAGTTATATAATTCAAAGTCAAGTTATGTACAAAATATTTTATTAATTACCAAGACAAAAAAC